AGTTGCCAGCTGTGATTTATACCAACCATCCTATCTGGTGTCCTGTGGCGAACACATGCTCAGCCACTTCTGATTTCTGAATCCATGAACCTGTGTTCTGATAGCCTCTTCTGCATGGGTCGACAAGTCTCCCCCACACAAACACTACCGCATGAGCACACAACCCTACAACAACCTGATCTGCAGAGGGCGTCGGAGGATTCTCTAAAAGAAGGCATGATCGAGGAAAGTGTTACGGTTTCTTTATGCATTGTCTTAACACTCCATTTCCTCAATAATTCGCCTATCTTTCCTGGAAGCTTGTAGGATGGGAGCATTAGGAACCTGGGCGAAGAGGTATGAAGACTAGAATGGTGTGGCCTTTTGTATGGTCGTGGTCTCCTTTCATTGTATAGAAGTAGTTTGACCTTATTTTCGCAACTTGGTCTGATTGGCAGGAAGACATAGAGGAATGCACCTTGTCCGGAGTCCATAGTATGCATGATAATTTCTTAAATATTTTTTTACAATCGATAAAAATGGCTTATGCTGAAACAGCTATGAAGCACCTTGGAGCAACATTGGTGCCGAGCATTAACCATTCCTAAAAATTCTTTTTTCAGATGGCCTCTATTTTGGTCGAAGTCTGCTTTAGGTGCATTAAGGTAGTCTGTCCTCGTTTTCGCAACTTATTCGTGCTGTCAGGAGACTTGGTTGGATGTACCTTGTCCTAAGTTCTCTTCTATGGCAATTATCATAATCCCCAGCGTCGGACCATGAACTTGCTACATTCACAGACTTTTCTTCGATATTTTAGTCTGAATCGTCATTGAATCTTGCCATTCTCAGCACCACTTTCAGCTACAAATCTTCAAAGAAATAAGTGAACTCTATCCCTTGATCAACTTTCTGTCGAACTGTTGTGTTATCCCTGTTGCATATGCCTACTCCCTAACCTCTTATCTCGCTCCTGCTCAGAAGTTGTGATTTAGTAGAGGAATTATAGCTTGGTGCTGAGAATGGCAAAACTCACTAACGATGCCGGCGAAATGTCTGGCAATGCACCAAGTCCACGGTCCGACGCTGGGAATTATGATGACTACTGTAGCAGAGGACTTCGGATAAGGTGAATCCAACTAAATTCGCTTGACAACACGACCAAGTTGCGAAAACGAGGTCATACCATTAATTTATTTAGCTAAAATATATTTTTTTCAGTGTCTGCATGTGTCAACAATTGGTTGACGATAATTTCCTTAGATATTAGGCAAAGTGCAGCAAG